GYRTATCWTTACAGTGAAGGWYTWYAWGGCAARTATCCTRMWASTCTKRMYTWTWTWYWTGTACCYTAYTTYATGRCTAGCTCRGCATCTGTGTTAAGTCTWGCTGCTCTTACMTTTGACAGATAYCTTGCAATCACTTCACCWATGTCTTAYAGGAYKARACTCAATYMYAAAAGAGCAGGGTTTRTWTCTCTTGGAATCTGGGTTTTYTCTRTWGSATTTTCRTTTWTSTAYYWYGYMACTGGWTACCTCATGTTTKCATTTATTTTYRTGCAYACYATTATCYTWTTTKCTYTCTTYGTKAYRCTCTTTACMTAYCAGAGGATATTCAAAGTGTTTAGAACACAAGTTGAGCAGTGGGACAACATGAATGATGCAAAGAATGAAGACAACTTTGCTAAACGTCAAGCTGTCAGATGGGARCAAAAAGTCACCAAGACTTTTCTCATCATGTTGGTGTTTTTTCTTGGCTGCTACCTTCCAGCTTGCATCTGTATCTACATCACCAACTTGTGCAGTACATGTAGCTGTGTCTTMATTCACTGGGCAAGGGATGTTCACCTTGTACTTATCCTAGCCAACTCTTCCATGAATCCCTTTCTTTATGCTTTGAGGTTTGACAATTTCAGAAAAGCTTTCAAGAAAATGTTTCGTYGTAGTACTGTGGTTAACAAGTTCCAGTCATTTAACTTGCAAGTGTTTAATTCTTCTTCAGAGATAACTACGAGTACCACAACTCTTCACAAAAAATCGATAAGCAGTGTGTAAGGCACCCTTGATGCAGACATTCCTACCCCACCCCTCCCCTAAAAATGTCCTTKGGGGAGGGGTATAAGAAATGTTTTTTTTGACACTACTTGGTGTTGTTGGCACTACTTTGACAGGGACCTCAAGGTCTGAAATATTTAAATATCTACATTTGACAGAAAATACATTGATATAACATCTAATGCTTGGGCATGGTCTGTGTTTTCAATACTTTTGAAAAATTCTTTCTTTTTTTTTTGTTTTGTTTTTTTTTTTGTTTTCCTTTTCTTATTTCGATACATATTCAAAGGTGTATATTTATGGTATTATGCCTATCGTTGTTGGACAAGTTGGANTTCCTACCCCACCCCTCCCCTAAAAATGTCCTTTGGGGAGGGGTATAAGAAATGTTTTTTTTGACACTACTTGGTKTTGTTGGCACTACTTTGACAGGGACCTCAAGGTCTGAAATATTTAAATATCTACATTTGACAGAAAATACATTGATATAACATCTAATGCTTGGGCATGGTCTGTGTTTTCAATACTTTTGAAAAATTCTTTCTTTTTTTTTTGTTTTGTTTTTTTTTTTGTTTTCCTTTTCTTATTTCGATACATATTCAAAGGTGTATATTTATGGTATTATGCCTATCGTTGTTGGACAAGTTGGACAAACAGCGTTTCGTAATGTACCTGTATAGTAGACAAGACACATTGTCAGATTGTTGTGAATTAATCTAAGTAATTTAATATTGTGGAAGGAAAAAGACAAATAAAAAGTAGTCTGATTTTTTACRTTTTTGGTTGCTCTTGGCAAGCTATCTGAAATTTCAAAAATAGTCAAATATTTCTTTCTTCCTTCCTTTCTTTTCTTCTTTTCTTTCTCGCTCAACCTTGCTTTTTTCTCTTTCGTTTTATCGTTCTTTTTGCACTTTTTCATTATTTCACTTTCTCTTTTGTTTTAACCCCCCCCCCGTTAAAATGAGTTGTCTTTTAACAGCAAATTTGAATCAACTGTTACTTGCGAGAACTGGCACGAATGAGTTTTCAATTTCTGAGCCTCTTCTTGTTTTCTGGCAAAAAGGCCACATTGGGGGGAAATATTAGCGTTTAACAAGAGACTTCATGGTCTCTTGCAACCTGTTCCAGCGTAATTTTGTATCAAAATAAATAAAAAAGTTTCAATTTCTGCCTTAAATGTTACCGTCACAGCTATCTACTTGGCATAGGGGAGAAGACTTGAACTTCATGTAAAAGCTCACGCAAATGAACAGTCTTTCCATTTACTTTCTGCAACAACTTTTCTCTTGATTCTTCATTGAGAGGTTCGGATTTTTTCGAATTTGTTTTGACGTTAGAGTCGCCTTCCAAACTCATTCTGCAGTCGACTTGGTTTGGAAGACGTCGTTTTTCATTCACTGCGGCCTGATGTTTCTTTTGGTCTTTTTTCGAACCACTTTTAGGTAGAAAGATTTGTAACTGAACAGCTCCCATTTTGCAGTTAGTTTCTCTAACTTTTCTTATGGAGTTTAAGTCTTCGAAGATATTCTCTCCTTTCGAGGAAAACGAAGCTTGTTTGATTTTAAAAAAGCTTTCGTCTTTTCTCTTTGAATTACGGTACTTCGGAACACTCCTCCTAAAACATTGCGTTCCTTTATTCCTTTTATTTTCAGTTTTAGCTGGCAATGGAGGAAATTTAGGTAAAGTAGTGTAAAATATTGCTTTATTTTCTGGAGAAATACTTGYCATTTTGGGTAATTTCAGTGTAAGCCGTCCTCCTTTGAAACCATTATTATCATTAAGCCGCTTTCCTGCTTCGTATTCCCCAAGTAGTTCCTTCATATAATCGTYGTCATTCAGATAATCAACTCTAGGAAAATAATCAAGAATCATTCTGCGCGATAAATCTTTCGCAAAATTCCTTTCTCTTGTTTCTTCAGGTTTATTTTCTGTAGAATTTCGTGATGGACTGACGTAACCTCGACGGAAAAAACGCAAGGCGTCTTCTTCAAATCTTTTATGGAGTAAAATGAGTTGTCGAAAGTCTCTGGTGCGGCTTTTGGTTGAACGGAAATCTTCAATTCTTGTCGGAGATTTCCTTGGTATCTTATCTTCTTGGGCTTTATYCATATTTGTATGAGTATACTTTATTTTCTCACAGAATGAGAAACTTAGTTATCAATAAGTTTCTACCAAAATTACTTTCGTTCTCAGTAAATATACTTCAAGCAACACCGTTATTTTAATAATGGCTCATTACTGAGCGAGCAATGACTACCAATTTAAACCCCCAAACCTGCACAAAGAAACAGTCTTTACTAGAATAAATTAAATTGAAAATGGGCAAGCAATATAACAATTTTATTTTTTTCATTTAAATGACAGATATTGACACAAATCATTTATTTCGTTTCTCTAGCGGACTCTATTTTTCATCAAACGTCAAATTGTTTAATCTACCAGCTAGGAAAATATTAAAACAGATTACAAACATCTTACGAATTTGAAATTATAATCTTCCTTTTTCTTTAATTTCATGAATTTCTTAATTTTCGCTAGTTTTTGACTTAAAAGGGGGAAAAATATAGAATACTTGATAAAAAGGATTTTTGAAATTGCATTCTATTTTCAATTTACTCCTTGATTAAACAAGTGATACATAGGTAACAAAGTCCTCTCCTCTCCTCTCAAGATAGAGAATTWTCGGAAATAAGGGACAGGTTTTCAAGCAATAGAAGTACTTTTTTTTCATCTTAGAAACATAATCATATAATAGATGTGAAAGAGTGGCAAGATAAGACTTTCTTTTCTTTTTTTTTTTTTTGAACCTGTAGATAAAAAAGAAAGAAAGCTCCCAAAAGCTTCTTTACGTCTTGCACAGTACATTCAAGTTGTGCTATTGAATGGTCATTTTCATATCCATATTAAACAAACTTACATATATACAAACCGCTTTTTTCTTTTCTTTTTTTTTTTTGGCCTTCAAGCAGATATGAATATCATATTGACAACAACRTTGCAGTTGTCAAATCTAGTCAAATAATTACATTCTGTAGCTATACATTTGCATTTACYCATCGCTTGTTACAGGTACCTCATTACTAGAACTCATTTCAGTGTCTTTTGCTAGTAATGGTTTGGTTGAAGTCAAGGTGTACGATCCTTGTCCACCAGCCTTCTCTGCCTCTTCTATGGTGTATGGCACTTCTTTCAACATTTTAAGCCTTCAAATTCAATATATAAAGAAAAGACATTACTTTTGAGTATAATTTTTCTCGTTTCAAATTCCCTTAATTGGGAATAATTTTCTTTGTTTGGATCTGATTCTGCACCCAAGCATGCATCTTCTTAAGCATTGCTRGTACACAAAGAAATAATACTCAAGAGAATGACACAGTATGAAATGGGCAGTAGTCCCCTTCACAGTGCCATATTGAATAAATTATGATAATAATATCAAAAAAACTACAAATGGTGAGTCACATATTTGAAAATATGTCAGAGGAACCATTTTTATCTTTGGTTTTGAAAATATGATGGGAGATTCAGCAGGGCAGGTGGCTGGCAGCAACCAGATTGATAGGGTAATACAGATACACCGGTCCTCAACTATGTTTAAAATCTTCTTATCATCCCCCCTCCCCAAACTTCTCAGTATCAATCAAGCACTGGCGAGAGCGTGGCCAGCTTTTTACTGTGCAGACACACTAATCAGAGTAACTTGAATAAAACCGACCAATCAGATAACAGTAAGCTAGACAGATATTGAACTGATAACAGCATTAGCAGTTAGCCAATCAGATTATCACATTCTCACACTCTTATGATATCAATGTGCTATCTGATTGGCTGAATAAAAATATAGAACTAAATGCAATAATATTGCAATAAGATTGGTTAATGAACTAGTTTATTGATATAGGACTATAGTTAATAGATAGAGAGGTATGAAGCAAGCAAGCACAAATGCAAGYACAAGAGTATTTTTCTTGCGTTGGCTAGTGCTTTTAATATGCTTCTACAAAGTCCTTCCCAAGCCCCCCTCCCCATTACTCTCTGCGAAACACAGGGAACCCAAACGTCTTTTTTTAGTATGACAAAAATATACCAACCTTTTCTTGTGGACTCTTCCTTTAATATGATCTTTCAGGCTYTTATCATCGATAAAATATTTCCTAAAACAGTATTATAAGTTCAATTGATAACAAC